GCAGAGCTGCTGTATCTTTCTATAGCATCCAGGAAAACAAGCTGGATAGGCGACCCAGGCAGAGCTGCTGTTTGCTTGCCAAAGCTCAGCCCTTCATCCTACCCTGGGTGTGCTGAGGGGAGCAGAAGACCTCCCCAGCTGGGTCTTAGTTTGCGTTGGGTACCCGAGGCTGCTCTTGGCTGATAAATCAAAGGCTAAAAATGGAAAAGAAAAAAAAAAATGTAGGTATCTTTCTATAGCATCCAGGAAAACAAGCTGGATAGGCTGAGGGCCAAGTGGTTTTATTGGAGGTGGTTGTGAGCTGAAGGAGAGGGCTTCCCTGCGCTGCCTGTTGCTTGAGAAATGACCTTTGAATAGGAGCGGCACCTGAAGACGACAGCAATCCAGCGACGTGTGTTAAACGGGGTAGGGCGACGAGTTCGGTGACGTTTGGTCCTCGCGTTTGCAAGCTTTCCCGGGGGTTTTTGGTGGGAAGTCACTGGTTGGAGGCTGGAGCTGTAGGAATGTGCGGTGCAAAGATGAGGTGATGCCTTTCAGCTCTGGTCTGAGCTGCTGTGTGCTTCATGGGCCCTGCTCTCACCTGGGGGGTAATTAATTCATCTAACGAGTGTTATTGCTCTTGGAGGCTGCAACCAAGAGCAATGTGAGGACCGAACCTGGAGAGGGATCACGTCATCTGCAGCGCCGCTGCCAGACTCTGCTGCTGCCCGAAGGGCCGGGGGAATGGGATGTTCTGCACGGAGCTATGTGAACTATTTCTCCTATGTAAATAAAATACCTCTGAGATGAAATTGAGCCAAAGGGGCGGGGGGAGGAGGTGGGGCAGCCTTTGGGAAAAATGGGATTTTGCTATTTTTGTAAATAAAACAAGCTGGTGGCAGCGAATTATCCTCATTTTTTTAAAAAAAAGAGGAGGGGAAAAAAAAAAAGGCTTTCTTTTTATGGCATGTCCTGGCTATTTTTTTTTTTTCCCTGTTCCTCCTTGCCATAGTAGTGTGGGAGGAGAGAAATCCCTGGGTAAGCTGGAGGCTCGGAGGTGGGAAGATGAGAAGGGTGTTTGCAGCCATCCCCTTGAACGCAGGCATCATTCCTGCCCAAGCTGACCCTTCGGGGGGCATCATCCCCCATAATAAAGTGCTTTTTGTTGGTTTTTTTTTTCCACTTGGCAAGCACATCTGTTATTTTTTAGGCTGTCTTGCGCCTTGGCCCTTGCTGGCACACAGTGCTGTAGACATAAACATATCGCCCATGTCTCTGAGTGGATGCGTTATGAATAAATGATGTATAAAGTCTGGCGTTCGCTGTGGTGTGGTCACCCAGGAAAGCCCTTTGGTGCGGTCTCAGCCCCGGCTCCCTCTGCCCCGTACCAGAGCTGCCTGCGCAGCATCTTTCCTCTGGCGCCTTGGCCCTTGCTGGCACACAGTGCTGTAGACATAAACATATCGCCCATGTCTCTGAGTGGATGCGTTATGAATAAATGATGTATAAAGTCTGGCGTTCGCTGTGGTGTGGTCACCCAGGAAAGCCCTTTGGTGCGGTCTCAGCCCCGGCTCCCTCTGCCCCGTACCAGAGCTGCCTGCGCAGCATCTTTCCTCTGGCAGCCCCCGTCTCCTGGTCCCCCTAAAGTCCCAAACCCAGCAGGCAGCTGGATGTGGCCGCGGGTTTCTGAGCGGGCGGGCTCTGACGGCGCTGGCCGAGTCCGGTGGAGCGGTCGGCGTGCCTTGCAGAGGCTTGGGCTTTACGTGGGCTCAGCTGAAATAACGCCCGGCTCTTTAGTCTTGGCAAAGCGTCGTATTTAACGCCCGTGCAGAGGGCTGAGTCGCACCATCCTGGCGTGGGCAGAGCCAGGGCGTCTCAGTCACGGTCCCCGCCGTAGCTTTTACCCGGGGCGTATCTCACGGTACCCAGCCTTGCGAGCCCTTCCCCAGCTGATTTTGGCCCCGAGCTGGGAGCCCGGCTCACCTTCGCTTACCCCTTTCATTTTACGGAGGATGCTCTGAGGCCGGGGTGGGGGGGGTGGCACCGCACCACGTACCCCCGCCTGCTGTTTTCGGCTCTGTTTCCAGGCTCTGGGAACAAACGTGCTGTATTCATTGATGATTTGCTGCTGGGAGTCGGTGAGTGATGTCCTCACGCCTTCCTTTCTGCCCCCAGCAGTGAGCGCCGTTAAAAAAGAATACCAGGGGTTTTGCAAGAAGCCTTTTTTCAAGGAAAGAAGAAAAGAAATGCTTTCTCCTTTTACCTTACCTGTTAGGTGAGTGCTTTAGGGCAGAGGTTTAGCTTTGCTGCTTACACCACTCCGGGGAGCAAAGAAAAAGCCCTGGGGATGGTTTCTGGTCCCAGGCTCTTGCGGGTAGCGAGGAATCTCTTTTTCATCCCGAGATATCCCCAAAAATACGTACAACCTCTTCCTTGCGTTGTAGGCAAGAGAGATTGATTCATTTTAAGCATCCCAGCGTAGGGTCGAGCGGGAGAGCGGACCCCACGGGTCAGCCGTGCGGACCCACAGCTTGGCAGCGCCGGGGACGAGACGGTGTCTGGTTTTCGCCGCTGGTGCAGAGACGAAGTATGAGTTTGCATGTGAAATTAGCCCGCACTGATGAGGTCTGACTTAAGATGACACCCGATTTCTTTTCTCCTTCATGGAAAAGGAATTTATTCCCCTGGGGAATTATAAATTTTTTAAGTGAAGGTGATGGCTTTTCCTCTCCCTTTATTCCGTCACTTATTTTAGCAGCAACGTTTGAGCAAAGTGAGTGATTTTTCCTTTCCTAGTTTGGGGTGGGTTTTTGGACGACACCGTGCCATCCAATTTATTTCAAGAAAAGAAGGGAGAAGAGTGGGGGGGTTTGTTCACCTAGTCTGTGATTCTTAGCCAAGGTGGCCTAATTTGCTGCATCTTGCCCGCCAAAAAGGTAAAAGGGAGTTTTGCTCATCCCGAGCATCCTCGGAGCCTGCGCCGCTGCTGCGCTTCCTGCCTCGGCATCGCCTTCCCCTCTCTTCCCCTGCCTCCCTAAGCGCATCCCATGTCTCCGGAGCATTTTGGGAATAGCTGGCAGGATGCTGTCCCAGGGAAGAGAGCGAGCGGGATCCAGAGCCGGTCCTACCGTAGATCTCACCCCATATATAATCCCAGCCCCAAGAGTTTCCCGGGCTGGCTGTGGTTTGAAGGTGCAGCGAGCGTTTGCTGCTTTACTCACCGTTTCCTCCCCGTTTGAACTAAAAGAGGACGAGGAGCAGCTCGTTCTCCACAGCTTAGCGGTTAGGCTTAGTGCCAGCAAATCTCACGCTGAAGTCTGGCTGCTGAGCCGGGCTTCAGCCACCCGACAGCCGCACATATCAAAAGGCAGGGGAAAGGACGGGCCGCGGCAGAGGCTAAAAAAGGCTAGGAAGGAAAAGGACATTGCAGAAGGATTGCATTTCCTTTTGGGAAGCCGAGCTGGAGGAGATGTCCTCGTTTCTCCCGACCTTTCCAGGTGGCTGTTATAGTGCCGGCCGCATTTATGACGCTTGCTTGATGAAAATCAAGAGATGACGCATCTGTTGTGGGAAGCAATCATGCAAACGCTCTGAGCTTTGATGTTCCCCAGAACGTTTCGTTTAGCAGCCGGGGTGAACAGCAGAGCCTGTTTCCCTGCCGCCGCTTAACCTGAAGCAAAGCACCGCCTGCGTTGGGGGTGAGATGGCAGCTCGAGCCTCTCCCGCCTCACCTGTCTGCATCCCATAGGGAACAGCGGCTTCTTCTTGGTCGCCCTCCCTCTACCAGCACACGCCCTGCTGCTTCAGGGCTTCGGCTTTCGCAAAGAGGTACCTTGGGGGATGCCCTGATGAACCTCCCGCCCTCCCCGTGCAAGAAAGCAGTCGGTAATTAAGAGCAGGGACGTAAAACGCGGCAAATTGGCACATCTCTACCTGAGGAGGGGTGCTGCTGCCTTCCCCCAAAATCCCTCCGGAAACTCAGTCGTGCCACCGTCTTGCTGGGGGTCTGCGGGAAGCGGCTGATCGGCAACCGCCAAGGTGACGCTGACCAGCTCTGGGGGCTCGCTGGGATGCCCTAAACCTTTTCAACTTGATTTATTTGTCAAGGCCACTCGGGCTGGGGGCTTTGCTTTTCACTGCCGGGGGATTTAGCCGGAGGCAGAAGTGGTGGAGCGAGGGGGGGAAGCATCTCCTCCCCCAACCAGCCCTGCCATCAGCCACCCCCCAGCTGCACACGCTAGTAGCTGAATGCATAAATTGAGGATTAAAAAAAAAACCAAACCCTCTTCACTCTATTTTAGTGGCTAAGTTTCTCAAGGATTAAAAATAAAGCTGCAGAGCAAGCACCCACCCGTGTGAAATGCGGCACATCAATGGTGGTCAGTGCACCTTCCCACGGGCTCCCGGGCTGTGTTTGGGGGGAAAAATACAATTAAATGGAAAAAAAACGTAATTATGAGCTTCTGCACAGAAGCACGTGCAGAAAAAGAAAGGGAGCAGCGATGGAGCAGCCCCGTAACTACTTGTGGTCCCTGGCGCGGCAAGGCGAAGGATTTCACCGCGGGGCGAGGCAGGGAGGTGATTTTGGAGGAAGGGGTACGTGAAAGCAGGGGACACCCCCGCCCGCTGCTGGCTGTGGCT